TGCTATTATTAATATTTTCAATTATTCGTTTCATTTTTTCATTTTTTAAGTTGACCATTTTAATTCTAGTATATATTAATTTTATTAATCATTTAATATTATATATATATATATATATATATATATATATATATATATATATATATATATATATATATATATATATATAAATGTACCTTAAAATATATAATAACGGTAATGATAAAAATAGTTTAAGATTTTGAGATTTTATCATGTTTTCAATTTAAAATAATAATGCATGCATTACAAGTGGCTAATCAAATTACTATTTTACCCCAAAAAAAATACGGATATTTGAGCGATGCATAGCTTAATTACTTATTACAATGTAATTAAATTTGAATTTGAAGAAAAATATAATTTCTTTTTAGTTATAGTTAATTACTTTTTTTTCTTACATATTTATTTATATATAGTTTGTTTAGGAATTCTTTTGTGATGATAAATTAAAATAGCTCAAATCTAGTACATATTGTATGCTTTGGACAATAACCGTCCAAAGCATACAATATGATATTTTTTATATCTAATTCTTAATATATATATTAATTAATGATGGGTAATTAATTACCTTGATTAATTTTTGTTTGAAAAATAAAACACCGCCGTTAAAACTAATTAAAATTTCACTAAAAAGATATATTGAGAAGGAGTAATAATAACTATTATTAAATGAGTAATAAAATTTGATTCACCCAACCTAATAATAATCTTAATAAATAAACTAAAAACCTAATTATTATTATTATTTTCATTTGAAAGCAACATCCACCCACAACTCTAAAAGCGGAAAAGAAGAAAAAAAGAAAAAAAGAAAAAAAGAAAAAAAGAAAAAAAGAAAAAAAGAAAAAAAGAAGATGGGCCCCACCATCTCACTTGGATGCTGATGCCTGGTTATTGTGTCGTACATTAATTAAAAAAATATTGGATAAGATTGAAAAATATAATCATTTAATTATGTGAAAATATATGTACCGTATGAGTGGAAAATGATTCAAACAATTGATGGACTTCCCGCCGTCCGATCCTCCAGTGAGATCGAATCCTCGCCCTTGAAGCTGTGCTCAGACGAGGAAGTGGAAATGGCGATCATATCGTTCAGATCGGACACGCTATCTTGTAAAGTGAGAAGCAAATGAGCGGTACTGAAGCTCGTCGATGGCTTAGACCGAGGGACAATCGGAATCTCTGAATCGCCGATTAACATTTGCACGACGCCTCTCATTGTGGGTCGGGTCATCGGATCCGGGTGAGAACAAGCCAACCCAACTAACAAAACTTTCCTCATCTCTGATTCCTCAAACTCCCCGCCGAGTCTCCCATCGGCCGCCGCCAACAGCCGTCCTTCCCGGTGTAAACTCCAAACCCAGTCGACTAAATTACTGTTGACGCCAAATTTTCCGCCGCCGCTTTCTTTCTCGATCGGCCGTCTGCCACTGGCGACTTCGAGAACAACCGCGCCGAAGCTGAACACGTCGGTTTTTTCGGTAGCCCGTCCGGTGAGGAGATATTCCGGCGCTAAGTATCCCATTGTGCCAGCGGCGACTGTGGCATCCGGCGATTTATCGTGCTCCACTTGTCGGGCCAACCCGAAATCGCCCAAACGGGCATTGAATCCTTCGTCTAACATTATATTACTGGTTTTAACGTCTCTATGAATGACCTGATTTTCACATTCTTGATGCAAATAGGCTAAAGCAGAGGAGACGCCGAGAAGGATTTTTTTCCGGTGAGGCCACGGCAGCGGCGTACTTGTCTCGAACAGAGCTTTATCTAAACTCCCATTTGGCATTAAATCGTAAACGAGTAAAATTTCGCCTTTCTCGTGACACCATCCTTGAAGACGGACCAAATTCCGGTGGCGGAGAGTTCCGATGATAGAAAGTTCAGAGAGAAATTCATTTTTCCCTTGTGTACTATGGCTACACCGTTTCACCGCCACAATGTCGCCGGTCTCCGGCAGAATCCCTTTATAAACAGTCCCAAAAGCGCCATGGCCAATGATTCTGTTCGAGCTGAAGCCTTTGGTGGCGATTTTCAGCTCCTTGTAAGTGAATTCCTTCGGCGTTTTGATGATTTCTGAAGCGAGGGAGTCCGATTTTTTGACCCGCTTAATCTTTTTGGAGTATACCCAAATCAACCCGCCGGCGAATAATGCTAGAACAAACGCCCCCGCCGTCACAACTCCAACCACCGCGCCCGCACCTTGCTTGCATAGTCCATTGTGGCAGGACGGAGAGTTGGTATTCTTTTGGGTGTTGGAATCTGAACCCGACGGCGGTTGTGACGGCGGCGTTGACCGGACGACATTCGCTGTTGGGTTCATCAGCGTCGTCGTTGGCGGCGGCGGAACCGACCCGGGTGGGGAATTCGAGTCAAACGACGACGTAAAGCTCCACCAGTCCACACTGTGAACTTCCGTACTCCCCTGTGTGGAACCGGAAAATCCGACGTACATAAAATCGTTCAAATACGGGTCGAGATCGAGATTGAACGATATTAGGGGTTCTGTCGGTTTCAAATTCGAATACGAAACGAAGATTTTGAAGATCCGAGCCGACCCGTCGTATTCGATCCACGAATTTACCGTATCCCCACTTTTGAGATCGATTCCAATTCCGTCCAGATCTTTAAACTGCAACGAAACCATGTCGTTCAGATCCAATCCGACATGGTTCCCATTAATGTCCTTAAATTCGACATCCATCAACGTGTCGAATTCCACCGCCACGAATCCCAATCCCCTTTCGTCGGCCAGCCCCAAAAACCCACCGGCGCCGCCGAGCGTGTCATCGTCCGGCGAGATTAGAAACGCCAAACCGCCACCGATCGACGACGGGTTGAGATTAGTGATGGAGAAAGAAAAAAATGTGGAGAAACTGGCGAGATAATTAATCCCCGGCTGCCGGAATCTGATGGGTTTGGCGTAGAGGACTCTACCGGCGCCTGAATTTGGGACGGCGAGGTCTCGAGTAAGTCTGACGCTCCCATTGTTCAAGTGGGCATCGCCGAGAAGCTTTAAACTGCTGAGGGCGACGGTTCCGAAGTCAAATTCGGCGGCGGAGACGGCGGTGGTAGAGAAATCAAAAAAGGCAGTACTGGAAAAGGAAAAAAGAAGTATTGTGAAGGAAATTACAGAGGAAATGGGAGAGAAATTCAACATTATTGAGATTAAGCTCTGTTCTTCAGACCCATCTCTGGTTTTTCCTTATCGGCCAGAGTGTAATTGAAGAAGACGATGAACAAATCACGGGCTAGAGAGAGGAGAGAGAGAATAATGGAATTTCTTGGGCTTAAAAAACAGACTAAACCTCAGAATACCAACAAGGAATACTAAGAGAATCCAAAGAGAGAGTGAAGAGGACAAGTGGATTTCCGTTGCGACACGTGTCCATCCACAACGGTCCATTTTCGATGATAAAGCAAGCTTTGTTTTCCCTTTTTTCTTCTTTTCACGTCTTTTGTCGCACGTGCCTCCAACGGCGAGTGATTCCACGCTTTTATCTTCCAACCCACGTGGCCGCCTTTTATTCGGTGGCATCGTTGCGTTCTCCATGTCATCTTCTGATTTGGCAAAACCTCTACAAATTTAGCAACTTATTATAAACATAAGTACGCAGTGATACTAAACATAAAATTAAAAAATTAATATATATTTTTTAAGCTCGTGAATTTATTAAATCAAAACATAAAAATGGTTAGCTAAGCTTTAATGATGTATTTTATGGAATGTAATAAAAAATATATATAATTTTTATAGTATTTTGTGCATTTGGAGATTAAAATATTACCCAAAATTTTTTCGAAAGCAGCCATAATTGCACATCTCAAAATACATAAGTTTCGGGCTCCACATGATGATTTGAAAGTCATGACAAAGTTCTCTTTATTAACATGATGGTTTTAAATTTGTGCAAAAGAAATTATTAAATTAAATGCATTCGTTTAATAAATATTTTAACCTTTAATTTTATGTTTAAAATATATTAAATAAATTACTAAGATTGAGAATTTAAACCTTTAATCTAAAATAAATAATTATTTTTTAAAAATATTAATTATATTTTTTAGTTATTTAAAATATAACTATCCTATTGGTCGTAGAGTTGTTAGAAGTATATTTATTTGGTTAATTTGGTCTTAATTGGAAATAAAATAAAATAAATGAAATTTGAGAAAAGAGGAAAAGAAAAAGAAAAGGGGCAAAAAAGTCAAACATAAACAGATCTGCTCGATTTGTTTTTTTTCTTTCAAATTTCTATTTATAGGTGACTAATGACTAGGCGAATGGACTATTGAAGCGCTGTCGTTTTAATGCCACGTCATACATAACTATTCTTAGCTCGTGAGCACGTGGGCCACCGTTCGATTTATTTCACGCTTTTTCACATGTAGGGTCCCGATTTGTTTGGTTTGCGGTTGGATTTGATGATGGGCGTATCATGGTTGATGGTGGTGCTGACCGTAGAGGATCAGGAGGAAATCTCGAGAAGTAGGGTGCTGACGAGGATTTTCAAATCGATGCGGGCCCCACGGGTAGTAAACAACGCACGGGACCTCTAATTATGTGAATCTTGACTAAGTTTGATCGGACGGTCCAGGTTGGTTCATTTTTTGTCCACTTTTTAATGGTGGAGTGCTTTTGAAGGCCTTTTGAAAGCCCATTATTTTTAACGTAAGAATCACTGTTTTATCTTTTAAGCATTAAGAAATACGAATTATTCGATGTGTTTTTTTTTTTTTTTTTTTAATTCCAAAGCTTTCTTTTCTTTTAATTTTACTTCACTATTCACTATAAGAAAAATAAATTATTTATTCATAAAACAATAAGAAAAAAATTATTAATTAATTTCCACCTCATTCCAAGACTTTTTTTTTTTACCCTGACCATACCTGCCACCTCATGTACCAAAGTCAAACTTTTGGTCAAAGTTAAATTTTTAGATTAGTCCACAATTTTTTACTATTTATCTATTTAGCCCTTATTTCATAACAATTTCATTCCTTTAGCAAGATAGTTTTTAAACCTTTCCTTTTGTTGGAACGGGAAAAGTTTACATCATACCTCAATTATGTTAAATTGAGATTAATTAACAAAGCGACAATCTTTCCTAATCTCTCCTTCATCTCCGGTCAAGGGATTATTCTCGGACAACAAACGAATTCCTCTCGAGAATTGAGCATGAAAATATTGATTATCAGCAGCAAATTTCGTGACGTACGGAAGCGTAAGAGGATTAGAAGTCAATTCTTGGTCCACTATGAGCAACCCCTTGTGATTCAGTATATTACTGTAGTACATATTATCCAGAATCATTGGCGTCTCCCGATCATTTCTCGAATACAATACAGCTTTTGGATTTGGATTTGGTGTTGGGCATCGACCTTTCAAGTATTTCGCATACTCTGGATCGATGGTTGGATCCACACTTGGATACAGCCTCTCCACTAAGTTCACACAGTGAACTCGCCCGACCGAGTGAGCTCCTGAATTACATAATTTCAAAGTTAATTAACTAAACTTATAACTCAATGAAGAAAAAAAAAACCAAACAGTTTAAGAACATAAACGAACCTAAAAGCGCGACCGCTGCTTCGGTATCAATGCCGATGGAGCTAAAGAGGGAGAGAACATTTACAAGAGATTCATTGTGCCTGGGAACAAACGCTTCAACGAGATGGGAATAACTCACTTTGCTATCTCTTCTCCCCGTTTTCAACCCAATTTCAGGCCCTTTTAACTGTACATCAATTCAACCCATTTCAAATAATTAATCATATATTAATATTTCCCTTGAGATTTTATAAACCGTTCGTAACATACCATGACTATGCCATATTGAGCAGATAGCACAACAATGTCAGCACAAGATACAGTGAGAGGACATTCTCGTTCAACAGCAGCTTTGATCTTATTTACGTATTTGAAATTTCTCATCCCAAAACTTCTATCTGAATCCTTCTCTGATTCCACTCCCGTAACCGTTTCCAATAGAAGAGATGCATCGCAAGACTACGAGATTATGTCAAATTATTAATTTAAAAAAATATATAAATTAAACGGGTTAGGAATAAATTGTTAGAATAATTAAAATATTGAGTTAATTAATTACCTTAACAATGCAATCATGGAAGAGATTTCTGAGCCACGAAACGGCAGTGTTTCCATGTTCATAGTAGAGATCGGCAACTTGCTGTTTTATAATTTCTTCAGCTTTTGGGCAACTTTTAGCATAATAATTCATTTGCAGTTCGCCCCTTCCTATTTTCAAATTTACAAAATTGGATCATATTAAATTAAATAACACTATCATTTTTCGTTAAAAAAAAAAAAGAAAAAGAAAAGAAAGAAAATTGAACCTGAATAAAAGAGCTGCAGAAGGAGGAGAAGAAGGAGGCTCAAATGGTTCTTGGCCGCCATTGTTGAGCTTCTGAAGCTTCCTGGTTTTTGATGAGCAACCATTTTTATGGTCCTTTTTATAGTGGTAGAAGAAGGAGCATAGGCTTTTATTTTATTATTATTTTTTATTTATTTTTGTGTTTGTGCATTTATATTGTGTCACGGCCGACGCGATAAATTTTATTTTTGTAATTATCATCATAATTATAAAATTTATTCCACTTGATTTTTGATAATTGTTTTTGTCAACTTTATTATTATATTTTTATGTAGGGGAATCTCAGATGGTTAATTAAATTAATTAATTAAAGAATTAAAAATTGTTTTATGTCAACGACTTTGATGGTTACTCCACCATTAATGAGAATGTCAGAGTCAATTGTAGTGGAAAATTAACGTGCTAAGTAAATTTTAAAGCCGCAATTAACATGTAATAAATATTTGCTAAAATAAAATTTCAATCTTAATTTTATTATATTAAAATATAATATTTGAGAATATATTATAATAATTAATTATGAAATATATTTTAGATATTTATAATTAACTATATTTTATTTTAGGATTTGATATAAGTCTATTTTATCTTATTCTTAATATATTATTTACCATTCAAAATGTGTGGAATGGAAGTCCCCTTCCCATTATACGCCACTATCTTTGACCACACGCCACCATTTGATATCACGCCAGCACCCAGCGGTGGGCCCTACTTAAAAAAAAAAACTCAAAATAATTTATTTTTTTAAAAAAAAAAAATGGTACACAAAAAATTAAAAAAAAATTAAAAGGTTATTATTATACCTAAAATTTAATTTCAAATGTAGATTAATATATATTGTGGTTCAGGATTATCGTTAAATTATTATTCAATTCAAATAATTAAAAATTTTAATATAAATTTAAAAATAAATAAATTTGTACGTGCTTAACCAAGTCAATGGAAACTTGACAGAGTTTCAATAAATAATATTAAAAAGTTCGGTTGGCACATGCGTTTCAAAGTTCTTATTTATTTATTTTTTATTTGATTATTCTTTTTAATTATGTTAATCATTTGCGAATTTGAGTAATAGGAAATTATGTTATTCTAAGCCTTTAATCATTTTTAGAATGAAAGATAATAAATATTTTGATTGGAAATATATAAGTTAAAAAAAAAAAAAATCAAAAGGCTCTTATTATGTGCCACGTGTCCCAACTCTAAGTTTGTATTTCTAATGTCAAATTATTTAAATTTTGTAGAGTCAAATTATTATTATTTTTTTTTTGTATTTTTAATGCATCAATAATTGGAAATAGGGATGGGATCGCGGGCAGTATGAGTTGGAAGCTATCCAACTTGGTCATTTTTGGGGGTTTCTTTTTTCTTATTTAATTATTGATGGAAAATTCAAGCTTTCCCCAATATAAAATTGTTTCAAATAAATTTAGAGATTTTAAATTGCATTTTTATTATTTATTATTGGATATAGTACAGAATCGCTGGATCGTAATTTGACTGCAGACTTCTCTAATAATTTATGAATTTATATTTTATATAAATTAATTTTTAAAATTTTAGTCAAATATTTGGAGTTATATGTTTTAATTTCAGAAGTCGTTAAAGACATGAATAACAAAACCAAAAAAACCATTATGAAACATTTTACACTCTATCCATATATTTAAGTCTTAAGAGTTAATTTAGGACTAAATTAGTAAAATTATTTATTTTTTATTTTTTTAATTTTTTTTAAAATATTAAATTTAGAAGATTTCATTTAAAAAAAATTATTTAAAAAATTCAGTAACATTTGCCAACTTCTTAAAAACAAATTAAAAAACCTTTACCATTAATATATGGACGGAGCATTAATACCACGTTTTAAAAATAACCATAATTTTAAAGAAAAAAAAAAGTTTGGAGATAATTTATGCCATATATTGACAATAAAAAAATTGAATTTTTTAATAAATTTTAAAAGGGTCAATACTATTTTTTTAAATTTTAATTATTTAAGAATATTTTAAAAACTATTTAAAAAAAAAAAATCGGAGTTTTGGGTATTTTTATTAATTTATTTATTTTTACATCAAGTTTGACTTTTGCTTGATTTTCTCCCTCTCTTTTAATTTCTTATAAGGCCTTATCTTTTGCTTCTCACTAAAAAAATGTATCCATATTCGCTGATGGATAATATAAATAAACAAATAAATATATATATTATGAGTGATTTTCTTGTTTTTTGTTTAAATGGAAACGTAATCTTGAAGAATTAAAAGTATTTATTTATCAAGGTGGCTTTCAAAAAATATTAAATAAATAAAAGGTTCGACACCATATGAGGCCCATTATTTTCAATGCTTGGGCTTGCCAAGCAGTCAGGCCCATTCTAAGCGATGCAACCCGCCAGGCCCAAAATCTAACGAAAAAATGCATTATTGAACTAATTTTTCCAACAAAAAAGGGTTAGTATACATGCATATAATTTTTTTTAGAATTTTTTATTTGACAATTTATATATTATTGATAATTTTATATATTAATTTTTTTTTTGTGATAAATGTCGACATTCATATATTATATATTTGGATATGATTGTTTTTTAAAAAGTGTGATCCATTTAAAAAATAAAAAATAAAAAAGACAAAATCCACTACCTCATGATGTGACAAAAACTCAAATAAAATAAAATATTATATACAATTATTAAAAATGGATGGTTTGGTTGAACTTATATATATATATATATATATAATTAACCAAATAATAAAATTGTTTAAAAAAATAAAAAATTTAAAATAAGTGTCAAAATTTTCTCATTGAATTTCAATTGCAACCGTTCTAGCCCAAGACTTTAGGCGTTTCTTCATGTCAGAGGTGGAAGAAACTTTTGGCATCCTTAGGGTTAAAAGAGGGGAATTTGGTCGGTTTATTGTCCATGCCTCTGAAAGATATGGTCTTGCTATATCTCTTTTCTTATGGTCATCGTTTTCATCTGCATCGTCGTCGTCGTCGTCGTCGTCGTCTTCGAGATTTTGTTTGTCCATTCGAGTTTTAAACCTTTGCAAACCGGGAACCAACTTCACCATTTGAGGGCTCAAATTTTCTGTCCTAAATTGAAACCCTAAATCCATAAACCCTTTAACTTCCTCCATCTCCAACTCCCCCAAGCTTTTACAACTCATAGCTTTGTTCAATTTTTTCCTCACTGCACACAACAATTCTTAATCACATCAATATAACATGAATATACGTTCCTCTCCACATTTTATTAATTGGGTTTCAAAGTTTATGTAGGATACTAATAATAATTCAACTCACTTGTAAATTCAGGATCAGTGAGACTTTCTTCCATTGCCTCTTCCTTTCCATCTTGTTTATATTTGTCTCCATCGTTACTATCATCTTCCTGTTCAAAACAAACATCAAAATCACTTTTTATATTATATCAAAGCACGAGAGATCGAACGTTCAAAACTGTCGTCGTTCTTACTCGTTATCATATCCTATCGAGCACAGGGAGAAGGGTTACCTGGGAGACGAGGGAGGTGTCGTCGAGGAAGATGCGGTCGGAGGAAAGGGAAGAAGGGAAGTTTGAGAAAGGAAAAGTTGGGTGAAGATGGGAAGGGGAAGGATGTGGAGAGGAAAGAATGATTTGGTGGTGCCAGAGGCGATCCATGGCTGAAACAAGACATAAAGTGTTTGTGTTGGTGATAGCCATGGAAGAGCAAAGAGTGGAAGGGAGACAAAGATTGGGATATAAAAGAAGCCATGGAAGTGAACACAGAGTTGTGGTGGAAATGAAAGAAGAAGGAATGAGTTCTCAACCCCAATCAAAAATTAAAGGAATATTGGAGGATGTGGCCATAAGTGAATATCAATCCATATCCTTTCTCTTTTTCTTTTTCTTTTCCATAACCAAATTACTCTTTTACCCCCATAGTTTACGTATAAAGCCGGTTTTTTTAATAAAAATTATTCTCTATCAGTACTCAACTTGAATTGATTTGATCAAGTCTGTGATAGTAATGACTCGATATTACAAAATCTTTTAAATTTTTATTTTATACGTTACTACGTATGAATTTTTAAAATTTCTTTAAAAATCATATTTGTTTAAAGAGATATATTAGGGAAAATATTTAATTATTCAATTTTTAATTAGGTTACATTCAACAAATGGGCATTTGGTCTAGTGGTATGATTCTCGCTTAGGGTGCGAGAGGTCCCGAGTTCAATTCTCGGAATGCCCCAAATCAATCAACCTTTTCTTTCCATTTTGGGCCTTCATGGTAACTTCCGGCCTGAAAAATGAAATGGGCCACTTTGCTGTGGGCTTCACAATTTTGGGCCGCCCCTCTCGACCTGAAATTAGAGGATAAAAGGGAATTGTTATTTGTTTTTATATGAAATTTTAGATTTATTGTTTAATCGGGTGTTAATTAATGGGGTAGTTTTTCATAGCAAATTCCACGATTTTGTTGATTTTTAAAATTAGACATATAAATGGAAGCTTAAAATTTGTGAGCTTTATTTGTTTGTTTGTTTTGTGACAAAATAGTCGTAATTTATCATAAATTTAAAGCTTTTAAACTGAAAGTTTGCCTCGGTGAGTAGAACAATCAGCGGCGGTACTGGCACTGGCGCACAACTTTTGTAGATATTCGGAACCGCTTTCACCGTTGTAGCTCACCGGAAACCCTATCGAAGCACGGAGGCGAAGAATCGAAGATGAGCGTGATCGACCTTTTGACCAGAGTAGACGCGATCTGCCAGAAATACGACAAATATGATGTAGAGAAGCAGAGAGATCTCAATGTCTCTGGTGACGATGCTTTCGCTCGACTCTTTGCCACCGTCGAAGCCGACATTGAAGCCGCTCTCCAGGTTTGACACTGATCCCTCAGTCAATTTCTCAGTTCCTACTCGTTCTGTTGCTGGATAGGGAAATGAAGCTTATCATATTGGTTGCTTGTTGCTTTTCTGATCTAGATTTAATTCAGTGGTTGAATCGTCATTTTTAGTGATTCGTAGATGATTTTGCATTTTACTTTGTCGGCGTGGAGGATTGGATTCTATTTTAGGAGC